TTGTCATCACACTGTCACAAGTACAGAGCAACGAAATTAACTCTCTCAACCCATCCCCTTGGGGAGCAGTGGGCAGCAATTGAGCAGCGCCCAGGGAGCAGCGTGGGGTTAAGGGTCTTGCTCAGGGACCCAGAGTGCAGGCTGTGGAAGTGGGGCTCAGGACGTCTGGATTCCAAGAGCAATGCCCTAACCATTATGCCGCCACTCCTCCTAATGAGAATAGATTTAAATAATAAAAAAAAAAAGTGTATATATTTAAATAATTCAAAAAAAAAAAGTATATATATATATATATATATATATATATATATATATATATATGAAACAAAGATCAGGTCAACTAATTTAATAATCGATTAATCGTTAACTGGAGTAGAGAGAGAGAGAGAGAGAGAGGAGAGGCTAAAAACCTAAAAATTGTCCTACAATCAGTATATTTTGGACATTTTTTGATATTTAAATATAATCAGCCACATATTCAAAGAGTCTTAATCATTACCTTGTATTTTGTCCTACTGAAGCTCCTTGATATATTGCAATGGGTTGTTGTTCTATCTAAAGATGTATTTCGGGGCAGTTGTTGTCATTCAACCCTTTATGCAGAGTATAGCTGTCAGGTTCCAAAACATCTTTTCCACAGCATCACTGATCTTGACAGCAGTAATTGTGTGTTGCAGATAGTAAGCGGTGTGTTCCTCCAAAGGACTGTCAAAATGTTGCATTCTGGTTTAATTAAAACAAATACTTTGGGTTGGACAGTATTTAAAAAGCATTTTTTGTGAAATTGAATTGACTAACCCTAACCCTGATAGGTGACTTCTGTCTGCATGGCCACTCAACCTAAAGGGCTTATATACACTTTTGATGATTTTCGTGGGGGGTGTGTATCATATAATGTAGATCTAGTTGGGCACCCATATTGATGTTAATTTGATTTTCCCACTTCATAATAACAAAGCCACAACAAATTTCAGAATATTCAAAGCTGTTAATGTTTGTCAGGCACTCTTCTCCAGATTTGTCTTTAATAATAAGAAGAAGGAGAAATAATTAAAATGTATTAAGCCTATTCACAAAAAAAACTTTTAGAAATGATTTGGCTTTTAACTTAGGAGTAAAGCAGTTTTAAAAAAAGACTAATCTTAAATTATTTTAAGAATACAAATAAAGGCATGGGCAGGTCTAGACAGGGGCCAACAGGGGACAGTGCTCCTGTAGAACTGGTCTTGGCCCCTATTGTGGCCCCTGTATCAAAGATATAATACTAAAAACACTTCTAATGACATGTGCTGGAACACAAAGGTCACTTGGACCCATTTCATTAAAAAAAAATATTTTTTTTTTACAATTCTATTTTGATTATGATTTTTAAAAAGAAATTCTAATTGAGATAGGATCTCAGTTTTAATCTATTAGCCTGTTTTTTTGTTGTAATTGTTTTTGTATTGAAATTTAAAATGTATTTAAATGTATATGTAAAATGTATGTAAAAATATTTTACAGCTGAATTTATCAGTTTTATTTAAGCTTTACTTAATTACTAATTCTGATTCGATTAAAACTGCAAATTTTTATTTAAAATAAGTAAAAAATATGTAAATTCCTTAATTTTTTATATATTAGTAGGTACTGATTAAGTAACTAATTATTTTAACTCATTAATTAAAATTTTCCAACCAATAAAATAAAAAAAAATCAGTTGGAAAAACATAGCCTTTTTAATTAAACTAAATGACATAAAAAAAATTCACTTCATGCGACTCTAATATTTTGTTTCATGCTTTTCTGTGCCACATAAAAATATGGCACCACCCTGAAGTCCCTTGTAAATCTGGACTAGGACCAATGGTGGAATGACACAACAATAGGCCCTTAAGCAACATTATCTGGGTGGCCCCCATATGAAGTACAACACCCCCTTTAATCTATGCTCTGTATTACCAATAACTCCACATTGTAGTGTAAAAAATAAAATAATCAATTACATTGTTCTTTTAAGATCTTCATTGTGGTTTGAAACATATATGAGTGTATTTTTACATTTATTAACAGTCTAATGAACTATACACAGTTATTAACATAGTGATAAAAAGTACCACTGTCTGCGTTTTTTTGTTGGTGTAAACGGCTCACCATCATGTTGAAATCTGGCATGTGTATAAATATGGTCCGGTCTGTCAATTTTGCATTAGGTGGGTATAAAGAACTTTTTTCGCACAATTACTTCTGCAAAGAGTCATCCTAGACCCCAGTTGCGTAGGGAGCCAACCAGGCGCCCCTTGGAAAGAGGTTGGGGGCCCCTAAGCAACTGCTGATAATTACACCATTGACTAGGACCACCACTGAACAGGTTTTGAAATTCCTTTTCTGCTTGTAAGAAAATAAAGCAAGCAATTTGTAATTAGTTTATGTTCTAAATTTACAATACATGCAGATTTTATAGCTCTAAAATACCATAATTATCTTTCATTACAGGAGTTCCACTTATTTACACCCAACTTCAATTATGCTGTTATTTTAAGCTTTACTCTATTGCTTCCCCAACATTTTAATGTTTGGATTTGCTTAGAGCTTGTTTCCAAGTGTTTTCTGATTATCTCAACTTCAAAAGAAATTCACCCAAAACATTAGAGAGAAAAACAGATGAAAAAGGGGTGTTTTGGTTCTCATATTGAAGCGCACAGCTGGCTGCAACAAAGGGCTCCCCAACTGCTACCTGTATACTTAACAGGGTTGGGTTTTAAGAATGGGGAGAGCGTTTCCCCTTTAAACAAGGTGGGTTGAGCCTTTTTTTGCAGTTCTCGCTCCTATGGCAACCCAATAGATCAGCAGCATGAATATTCACAATTCACCAAAACGCATCCTGACTATGGATGAGTGATGTCAGCGCTCCTTGGAACGCTCTACTGTATTTTTGCGTGATTTTTCGCCTTCTTCTAAGCGGCAGCTTGGAAAAAGGAGCATCCTTCCTTCGTCGTGCATGACCTTTCCCCCTGTCTCCATCCCACCTCTTCCATATGTCACGCTGAGGTGACTTTCAGGCACTTTTGCGCACAGTGTCGGAGCGCCACAAAGATGTGCACAGAGGACGCAGCAGGCAGGCGGACCGCCCAGGTCGTGCGTGAGGACATATGCGGGCAGTCAGGTAGTCTATCAGAATGAGTGTCTCTCGTCTGGTTCAGTGGAGTCGCGGCGTTTCTTGTCATGTGTAGCGGGATTTCAGGGATTCAGATTAGCTCCAGCCTAATCACTCTCACTAACAGATGCGGGGAGCGCGGATGCTGGCTGCGTTCGTTACAATACACCCTGGATTTATCTAATTCCCCCCACTGTGTCTCAATGTCATAATGGACAGGTTGCACTCATCCATGCGTAAAAGGCTCTACAGTTTGCCACAGCACATTGGACAGAAAGCATCCATAATGGGCGAAGGAGAAGACGCAGACAAGGACACCCGGAGGAAGAGCATCAGGATGAAGCCTCTGCCGTCGCCGACCTCTGGGGTGAGCTGCAAAGGCATCGGGGAGACCAAAAGTGGAGAGTCTGTGATCATGGAGACGGACATGGGGAGACCACTGAAGACCAGCTCAAATGGGGACTGCCGGAGATTTAGAGGCAGCCTATCGTCCATCACTAGTCGGCATGTGCACGACTCAGACTCGGCCGAGGCGAGACGCCTCATCACCGAAGGGGATGTAACCCCGAGCGAGGAGAGCCCCCCTGGGGCGATCGGCGACGAGCAGCCGGATGAAGGTGCACAGGGTGCCAGCGGCGGCGCCCCGGCCGAGTCTCCGGAACAACAGGCGGGTTTTATAAAGCTGGAAGGCATTGATCAGATTTTACCGGACGACGCTGGATTATATCAAGCCGGGTTCATCCACAGGCAGCTGGGAGCGATGCTCCAGCCTGGGGTCAACAAGTTCTCCCTGAGGATGTTTGGAAGTGAGAAGGCGGTCGAACGGGAACAGGAGCGCGTCAAATCGGCCGGATTCTGGATAATTCACCCATACAGCGATTTTAGGTGCGTTTCAGACTCATTTCTTTATTTCTCTCTCTTTCTTTTTTTTTTCTTTGCAAAGGTTAGAAATGAGGCTGCCCTGCACAGGCCCAGATGTTTATGTTTGCTTCTTCTTCAGACTAGTTGGGATTACATTAAGGGTTTAAATATATTTAAATGCTGCAAAATAAACCTTTTAAAAGTTGCCTCGATAACAGAGAATAAATAATAATTAGGCAGTGTTCTTATAAATTGGGAATCCTTTTTGCTTCACTAAGGATCATATATAAAATTCATTTTCTCATTATTTCTCATTAATGACTTGTTTTTATAACACCTAATCACTGACATTTCATTTATTCTATTTATTATATTAGCTTTAAAAACTAATCTTCTCTTCAGAACAAATTGTTCTGCAAACCTGAACAGAAGAGGTCAGGGAAAAGCTCCAGGGTTTGTTCTCTGTTGTTTAGTGTCCTTGAGTTTATTGTTAGTCTTATTCTGCCCAGTATGGAGTTTAGTACTTGCACTGAATCCTGGATTTCAAGATTTTATTTATTTATTCATTCAATATATAAGAATATAAATCTTTTACAATATGCCAATAAAAAAAACAATTATTATTGAACAATTCTTTTAGGTCAATAAAACTAGAATCATTATGCTTTGAAGGGAAACAGATGTTTTTTCTCTCTTAAAATCAAAGACATTTTGGGGAAACAAGTATGTATTTAGAGTATATTGAGTTAGCAATGCAAATAATGATGGTTTTGGTTATTAACTCAATGGTGAAGTTATTTATTTCACACAAACAAATAAAAAAACAATAATTTTATTGCCTGATCACCCTTGCCATTTAAGTTATTATAATCAAACACATATCAAGGAGATGCAGTAAATTCTGATAGTAATGCATGTTATCTTTAATATTAAATCATCCTTTTTCAGGACACTGATGTCTGATGGTATGAGGTGTATCAAATGTGTGTTGCCTCTAAATCAGGGGTCTTCAACGTTTTCCAGGCAAATTGGGACCCCCAAATTGATGGCAAGATGGAGCGGGGACCCCCTAATTATATATATTGTATGAAATTGTGTTTTATCAAACTGGTCCAATAGTCACTTTATTACATATGGAGTTATGCAACGAAAGTAATTTCGCCCTGGGATTATTAAAGTATTTCTGATTCTGATTCCTGGTGGATGGGACAGGTGTTGTGAATGAAACGGTGTCCAGCTTAAAAGAGCTCCTGTGTGTCGCTGAATGTGTGCATTGATGACTGAAAGACATCTTCTGCCTCCATTTTTGTTTACTACCGTGTGTTGAAATGATGTTAATGTGTATTTAAAGACATTTCAATTAGTAGAAAAAATTGGAGGGGGGAATATAAAAAAAAGTAATTAACCCAAACTTTTGCGACCCCCATTCTGTACCTCTGTGGACCCCCTAAGGGTCACGGACCCCCTGTTGAGGACCTCGGCTCTAAACTACTGTTAACCTTACAAGGAATAAAAGTTTATCACGTGTGTAGCGACTTTGTCAGTAAGGCAAGATAACGTTGTTCTTAGAATAAAAAAGAGGCCGTTTATTTGACGTCTTTACATGTTTTCTGCTAAAACATCCTTTAAATAGTGACTAAGGCAATCCAAATCTAAGGTGAGGATTCGGCTTTTATGTACTCGAAGACTACTTGACAGGACTGTATAGAGCCTTACAGAAGTTTTCATATCCTTCAATTTCTTTCTTAAGTGACAATCACAATATATGTTTTAATATCATAGAATAAACAAACACAAAGAAAGCAAACATCTCAATTGAAAGAGATGGCTGTGATACATTTGTCCACATGGTTTTTAAAAGTTTTTACAAGTAAACTGAGAATTGGGTTGAGCAATCACTGCTCCATATTTACTCGGTGTCCCTTCTGAAGTTATTTATTTAGTAAATTAATTTTTTATTTTATTGTTGCACTGTTGTTTAGTTGTTGCTAAGAAAGTCCCTGTTTTAGATTCGGCTCTTGGGTCTTTTTTGTGTAGAACTGTAAGGTCTTCTCAGATACCCCCAGTAGGGATGCACGATATTGGGATTTTGGCCGATATCCGATATGCCGATATTTTAAAACAAATGTAGCCGATAACCGATATCGATACCGATGTTAAAGCTGGACAAAAATAAGTAGTCATTGAAAATAGCAGTTTTGTTATCCATTTCTGACACTTTGAAAAATAATATACTCAAATATATTTTCATATGCTGATATCAAATTGATTTTTAAAAACGCGGTATCAATCTATTTTACTTTCAAAATCTCGTGAAATTTCATCGTTCTGTTACAAACTCTCGTGATATTTTGCAAATTCTTGTGAGATTTTGTTAGTAAAATAGATCGATACCGCGTCAATATATCAACATATAAAAATATGGCAAAATTTCGTGAATTTTCGGGGGATTTCGTAGCATAACGATGACATATAGCAATATTTCATTAGTAAAAGAGATTGATATGGTGGTTTTAAATGGCAATATATCAGCATATGAAGATATTGTGATATTTTAATGTATCAATATTTTTTCCCTCGTCTTTAGAAGTTTTTAAGTCTGTAAAAAAGAAGTTTTTGAGGAAGAAGTAGTATTTTTTTTTTTTTTAGACTTTAGAAACTCAGAAGCTGATCAAATATCGGGTTAAATATCGGTCGGGTGGCCGATGTCCGATATTCAGTTTTAAGGCCGATACAGGCCGATACCGATAGGGGGCCGATTATTTTGTGCATCCCTAAATGCCAGGTGTTACAGAAGACCAAAACCTTAAATTTACCATCTCCATAGTTAAACATGGTGGTGGCAACCTCATGCTGTGGGGATGCATTTCTTTGGCAGGGACAGGGAAGCTGTTCATTGCTAATGGGAAGATAGAGGGAGCCAACTGCAGGAGGAAAACCATTTGGAGGCTGCAGGAGACTTGATGCTGTGAAAACAAGATGAACAATTTAGCAGACCAGTGACCGTTAAAGTTCTACCAGGGCTACAAGGAAACGGTTCAGATTGAAAGTATAAGATCGACTTAACATGCTGATCTAAATCCAGCTGAGACTTCTTGGCAAGCCATGAAGCTGTTTGCAGATGCTCTCTGCCCATTCCACTGAGCTCGAGCTACTTTGCAAAGAAAAATTGGGAGACGTTTCAACCCCTCCAAAACTTGTTTCTCAAGGGAATTACCTTAGCGGTGTTGGTGTGTTTTACAGAAAACACATACAAATTTGTGGTTGTTACACTACAAATAGTGTAAGAGATTCAAGGGGCATTTGTAGGACATTTAAAAAAAATAAACTGATAAAACAGAAGAACTGTTTGGATATGGATCCACAATAAGAAGACCATTTCATCACACCCTAAGACTTCAAGTCATCTCCAGAGGTATTTGCACTTTGAAAGATAAAAAAATTTCCAGTCACTTTCACAACAGCTATTCGGTCATGTTTGTCTGAAAACTGAAACAAAGAAGTAGAAAACATACATTTTTTTCCTGCCCATTTCCCTGAGCTCCTCCCAGCTGGGTATGGCTTCTATGTCCCCATCTGTTCCTTTGCTCACTATGTTAAATGTCATGACGAAGGGCGATTAGGGGTGTGGGGAGACTTTCCTGATACTGAAAGGTCAGAGATCTGGCGACGGCTTTTGGATTCCAAGTGTCCTTGAGCAACATGCCCGAAGAAGACCCTGTTTTGCACCACATTCACTAAAACAGATGCTAGAATATATAATATGTGATGCTCTGCAGGAGAAGACAGCATAACAGAAAAAACAAAGTTGGTCCCATTTTTGCTCTAGGTGGATATTCTTTATCACTACACTTATCATTTGGACTATTTTAGTCACTTATCACTGTATTTTCAAATCATGCATTTTTACAACTAAAGCTGTAGTTGTAAGGGCCAATTTTGAGTAAGAATTAACTCAATGAAATATACTGTAAAGGGAGAAAAAAGCCTTAATTTGCTCAAGCAATTAAATAACAATGGCAGAATTAAAACTAGAATTTTGTTTGATGTCTTTTAAACTTAAATGAAGAAATATTACATATATCTGTGCTAAAATCACCCTAATTTAACTGAAAAATAGGTCAAAAAATAGAAGTAGAGTTTCAGGAAAGCCAATTGGTTAGTAAAAGCTGACCCCAAGAGAAGGATCTCACCGAAAAGTTTTATTTCCACATCATGGATGCATTAGAGTTCTAACTCCATAAGTCCAAATTAGACTGTCACAAAGAATCACAGAGTCATCAGTACGGCGGACTTAAGCAAAATCTGCTCTTGTCAAGTTTTGTGCCACGCTAAGAAGCAGGGGAGGGGCTTCATATCTTGCTAGGGAAAAAAAAAGCAGATTAAAAATGGCATCATAATCTAATCTACAGCCTCGATTCCAGATTCAGAGCAGAACTGCTTCCTCTGGTCTCCTAAGGAACTGCTTACTGTGAGCAGATGTGGTCAGTTAAACAGAGGGTCGCATTTACAGCAACCAATAACATTGAGAGGAATGAAGAGACTGATGAGAAATTTGGTTCCTGAGCTCCTTACCTCTCTCACAAATATATGATCTGACCCGCAGCTTTTAGCTTTTTACTGTCGAATGTTTTAGTGGTTTGTGTTTGCATACATCCTCAATAATCATATCAGTAGGAGTGAAGTGACTCAAAATAAACAAGAGGAAATTATTGTTACTGTCACTACTACTGATAGTAATAGTAGTAATTATAATCATACTAATAATATTCAGTAATATAAAAAAACTGCAATACATTTGTGATAAAAGATACTATAATTAAATAATGACTAATGCTACTATAACTACCATCATCATTTTACTATGCGATTAACAGAGCGATAGTCATCCATGCAGGACTGGCTGCATATCTTCATGATGAAAAGCAGGTAATTGTTATTTTCCTGCCTGTTTGCACAGAGCCTTTTGAGTGGATTATGTCAGAGCAACTGCTTTGTGTAGTTTGTAGACAAATGATGTGGCC